CAAAGCCCCTCTGCCCATAAGCGTCACCACCCAGGGCTGCCTTACAGACCAGCTCCTGCATTTTTGGGACATCACTTCCCGGGCTCTTCACTGCTGGGACCATTCACCGGCACGAAGCATCTGCCCCCTGGGACCTCTCCCTGTCCTCCTCATGCTGGTGACCCTCATGTCCTCGTCCCCCGTGGGGCTGTCTCCCTGCCAGAGCACCAGTGAGCCCCGTGCCGGTTCAGCCGTTAGCAGTGCAGCCAGTGGTTGTCCCCCAGTGAAAAAAGGTGTCCTGAGAAAAATGCCAAACCTTCTGATCTCAACTGTTTATGTTCCATCGAGCTCTCACCAGCTCCATGCCCAGGACTCTGTGTCCCCCTGGCACAGGGACCCACTGGCCACCGCAGCTCTCCCGAGCCCGGTGGGATGTCCAGGGGTGGGCTGGGGGCTGGGGGCCACCGCAGCTCCTGGGGGTCACAGCAGGACCCCCACAACGGGTGTTAGTGACCCCGCTGCCGTTTGCTGGTAGCATCTTCCATGGCAGAGTACATCTCTGTGCTCCAGTCTGGATAAACGGAAGTTTTAAAGACAATACTTATCAACTGAAATGCTTCTAGATATTGTGAGGATTTAGAGCTGTTTGTAATGCAGGGGCTGGCTGGGTTCCTCTCTCCTCCAGACTAAAATGGAAAATAAGAGTTACTGTTGCAGAAAATAAGATAAATGAACTATTAGTATAAATATTCAATTTAACGGTACTCAGTGACACACAAAAAATGAGCTTAGAAGCATGTGAATTTCACAGAGAACCCGACACCCAGAGAGGCATGCAGAATAAGATAAAAAACACCGTGGCTGTACCTGGGGGTGCGTTCAGGCAGCGGGGCTGCAGGTGCTGGGGCTGATGCAGGGCACGGCAGTCACCGCCGGGTCCTGCTTCTCCCCAAGCGGTGGGGAGTGATTCTCTGTTTTCATGTAAGTTGTACCAAAAGCGGTTAACTGCGGGCAGCCTGGAGCAGGTTTTGGTGGAGGAGGAGCGGTGTGTGCCAAGAGGTGATGGAGGCCGTGGCAGAGGCCGTGGGGAGCCCGTGTCCTTCCCCTCTGTCCCCCGTGGGCAGCCAGGCACCCTCCCACCTCCCCTCTCGCTGCCTCCGGCGTCTGGCCCAGCGTCTCAGCACACCCTTAACCTTGGGCTCGTGGGCGCCCTAATAAAAAATCAATGGAGTGTCGTGCATATTTATAGTCAGACATCTGCATAGCTGCTGTCTTCACGGAGAGGAGCCCTCTTAGCCCTGGGGACTGCAGAGATTTTGGGGCTCATTCCCATTGTCTCCGGGTGCCGCAGCTGCCCCCCCCCCATCCCCACGCTTACATTCAATGCTTTTTTTTTTAAATTTTATTGTTTTATTCCTAAGCAATACCTATTGCTCTTTTAAAGCAACATTTTTTAAACATGCCAGGTCTCTGTGCTGCTCTTAATGCCCTGTGAATTGGTGGGGTTCTGCTTCAGCCAAAACTAAGCGAGGCAGCACTGAATCTATTTCTGAGCTATTTCTGTTTTTTCTATGTAAAGCGTCTTTAGCCCAGTGTAGAAGAAAAGAATTATTTTTTTTCCACAGTTACAGCTTTCAGTTCTTGCTAGTTGTCCTTCTTCCATAGGATCTGTTCAGCATTAACTGCAGTTAATAAATCAAATTGTTCTTAGAATCAAGATGGCCGCTTCCCTTCCCTATACTATTAAAACGTTTCTCTGTCTGTAGGCAGGTTTCCTGGATAATAACTTTATTTTATTAGAGTGCTCACTCCATTTTTCACTTCTGATAAATGCATGTCAAGGAACAACATTTGCCTTTATGGTGCCTTTTCAAGAGCAAACTTAACAGTTCAAGGAAAGTATTTACTGAATGCATTGAAAAGCACATACCTTTGCATTATTTATTATAAGATACCAATAACTGTAAAGCGCAGAGTATCTCTGGACATAAATTAGTGATGTTAGGAAACACTAGACTCTTCCCAGTGTCCCGGAACCTATTAGAAACTGCAGCAAAGATGCAGGTGTCCATCACGTCCCCCGTGCCGGGGGTACCGCTGCATGGAGCCCAGATAAAAGCATGGAATGCAGAGATCTGGCCTGAAATCTGCCTTTTCACCTCAGGCAGTGTTAGAGGTGCAGTCAGAGAACGCGGATTAGCCTTTGGGCTCACCCTGATGCCCCTGACATGCCCAGGCTGGAGGGTCCCTGCTCCCGTGGGTCCGGGCAGAATCCCTGTGGTGGTGCCACTGCCTCGGGAGCCGTGCTGTGAGCCCATCCCAGGGATGCTCACCCCTAAATCTGGGGTTGGACACGGCTCTCTGGAGCATCCTCCTTTTCAATTTGTCCCTCCTGGGCTGTTTCAAAGGGCCCGAGGCTGATTCCCTCTCCCCGAGGCAGCTCTGCTGCAGCCATGGGAGTTTGGCAGCTGAGAAAGGATGGACGAGAGGGGTCAGGATCAGCTGCTCCAACACAATATTCCCCTTTCCTGCAGAAACCCGGTGACATCCTGTCCCATGCCCCAAACTAAGCTGATCTATACTCTTTTACGCGCTTGGCTGAGCCAGGCTCCCTGTGGTGCCACGCTCGGGCAGAGGGAGATGGGGACGGTCCTGACTTTGGGTTAATCACAGACATTTCCACAGTCTGAGCTTTACTTTTTGGGCCAGGTTCTCCTTTCCCATTCTAGACCTGCAGAATTATTTAATAGGGCTGCTTAAAACCTCGTCCACTTATCAGTTCACCCTGCGTATTTTGTCCCAGCACATTACCTAACCATGACAACATATGGATTTTTTTTTATCTTGCTGCCCGGTGTAGACAGCCTTATCAGGCTATTTTTAAATCTGGGTATGCCACAGCAGCGGTATTGCTTTCAGCACTTGATGTTCTCTCTGTGCTAATAAATACAGATCAGCTATTAATACTGATTTTTTTTAGGCTCCATTAGCATCACCTGGCACAGCAATGGTCTGGCGCCGCTGCCCGGCCTGACCTGAGCTCTGATGGACGCTTCTGGCTGGCTTTGGGAGATGCCCCGGGGAGGGGGATGGCACTGCCCCCCCCCCCAGAGCCCTGCCAGCTCGCCCAAGGGCTGCCGAGAGCTGCCTGGGTGTCTGGGATGTAGGGATGCGGGGAGAGCTAATTGCTGACGAGGGACGTTCCCTAAACAGCAGCCGCTGCTGCCGTTTCATCTCAGAAAGTTGCTATTGCACATTTTTTTTCATAGCTTTTCGACACTGTAGTCCATGAGAGCCCAGGTGAGAGCGCAGGCTTACAGAAGGTTGTAGGATTTGAGGCAGGCGAGGTGGTTGGGTGTTTCTATACCAGGTTGCAAGCAAACGGTCTCACAGGAGTGACGAGTTTATCTCACAGCAGATACCTGAGGTTTGGGCAGGTTTTTCAGACAGCAGCTGTTGCAGCAGTGGATAGAAACCACAAATAAGTCGGTAAATGGTTAAAGAGTGGCCAAAGAGGTGTCTTTCTGTGAGCATCCCTTCTGCCCGCCCTGCCGATCTGTCCCAAAATATGGGTAGAAGGTTTATTTGAGATGCATGAGCAGCAATTTCCAGTTGTATTTGGTGTACATGACCCGGAGGGGGGTTGTATTATGGAACAGTGCCTGTATACTTTTGTTAAAAAATAGTGATCTGCAGGTGTTATATGCTATGGCACATGACAAGTTTCTGCCAAGAATTAATCTTTGTCTTAGCTATGCAGGCGAGGTGGTCTGGGTGTTTCTATACCAGGTTGCAAGCAAACGGTCACAGAAGTGACGAGTTTATCTCACAGCAGATACCTGAGGTTTGGGCAGGTTTTTCAGACAGCAGCTGTTGCAGCAGTGGATAGAAACCACAAATAAGTCGGTAAATGGTTAAAGAGTGGCCAAAGAGGTGTCTTTCTGTGAGCATCCCTTCTGCCCGCCCTGCCGATCTGTCCCAAAATATGGGTAGAAGGTTTACTTGAGATGCATGAGCAGCAATTTCCAGTTGTATTTGGTGTACATGACCCGGAGGGGGGTTGTATTATGGAACAGTGCCTGTATACTTTTGTTAAAAAATAGTGATCTGCAGGTGTTATATGCTATGGCACATGACAAGTTTCTGCCAAGAATTAATCTTTGTCTTAGCTATTGAGGGGGGGGAAAAAGGATGTGCTTTGTGCTTTCTTCCCCAGACTGACATCAGAAAAGCTAAATTGTTAACCCTAATGCTGCTGTGACAGAAGAGCAGCGCGTTCGTCAGAGGGTGGCTTTATAAAAAGTGTGGAAAATCTCCAAGTTGTGCACTGCCCAGAAATGGCAGGTGAATTCCAGGGCTCTCTCTGGGCATGGTCGGGGGGAGCACTCCGATTGCCTGGGAGTTCAGTGCCCAAATGGGTAACTAATGACCCGGAGGGGGGTTGTATTATGGAACAGTGCCTGTATACTTTTGTTAAAAAATAGTGATCTGCAGGTGTTATATGCTATGGCACATGACAAGTTTCTGCCAAGAATTAATCTTTGTCTTAGCTATTGAGGGGGGGGAAAAAGGATGTGCTTTGTGCTTTCTTCCCCAGACTGACATCAGAAAAGCTAAATTGTTAACCCTAATGCTGCTGTGACAGAAGAGCAGCGCGTTCGTCAGAGGGTGGCTTTATAAAAAGTGTGGAAAATCTCCAAGTTGTGCACTGCCCAGAAATGGCAGGTGAATTCCAGGGCTCTCTCTGGGCATGGTCGGGGGGAGCACTCCGATTGCCTGGGAGTTCAGTGCCCAAATGGGTAACCATCAGGTGCCCATCCCAAGGGATTGGTGAAAACGCAGGTCTTTGGGACGGGAGGACGATGGCCAGTGTATCTTCTTGGGGTTCCTCCGCCAGCCTTGGGGTCCTGTGGGCACCATGGGTCCCATGGGAGGTCTGTGTGCCCGGCGTGGCCATTGGGGTCTGGGGCAGCCACACGTGTCCTGACGGTCTCTCTCTGTCTCTGCCCCCCCTTCCCCAGCCTGCAAACGCAAAGAGCAAGAGCCGAACAAAGAGCGGAACAACTCCCAGAAGAAATCTCGCCTGGTTTTCACGGACCTCCAGCGCCGCACGCTTTTCGCCATCTTCAAGGAGAACAAGCGCCCTTCCAAAGAAATGCAGATCACCATCTCCCAGCAGCTGGGCCTGGAGCTCACCACCGTCAGCAACTTCTTCATGAACGCCCGCCGGCGCAGCCTGGAGAAGTGGCAGGACGACCTGAGCTCCGGGGGCTCCTCCTCGGCCCCCAGCACCTGCACCAAGGCGTGACGGGGAGGGGGCGGCGCGGCACGGCACGGCACGGCACGGCGGGGCCCTTCACTGGTGACTTAAAGCACAATCCTCCTGGAACCCACCCCCAGCCCGGCTCTAGCAGAGGACACTTCTTCACAGCTTCTAGTCAGTCTCAGCGGGCGCCTGGCGAGCGGTCACCTCTCTCTGCAATGCCATGCTCAGGGCGGGCGAAGCAGGTTGGAAACGTCGGGGAGCCCCCCGTGAGGCAAGTTTCTCCTGAGCCCCAAAGAGCCCCGGCCAGCGGGGGTGCCACTGCCAGCCCGGGCAACCTGCCCGTGCCCAGCGCTTGCCCGCGGGGCGCCGGTGCTGGCCACACCGCCCTGCGCCAACGCTCGCCGCCCCGGGGCGGCCGCGCCAGAACCGAGCACAAAGTCTGACACGTAGACGCTAAAGAACCCGAGAATCTGTTTTTAAAACTCAGGCATGGTTTTGTTAAAACAAAAAAAAAAGAACAAATTTAATTTTTTAATTTTTTTTGTTTTGGGGGTTTTTTTTGTTTTTTTTTTTTAATTCAATCAGTGAGTACAGCTCGATCTCGGATCAGAACCCTTCAGTTCAGTTGAGCTCACAGTATCAAGCACAAAGCCAGTAGCTGCAGAGATAGGTACGATCCCGGCCCGGCTGCGGCGGCGCTTCGGGGGGCAGCCCCGTGGCCCCCAGCCCAGCCCGCAGTCGGTCACAAGCTCTGTGGTTGTACCTACCGCAGACGCACACTCAGGAGGTCCACTTAACTGCTACAGTGCATGGAACAAACACCACGTTTTTTGGAAGATCTAGATTTTTTTAGGTCGTTAAGATGTCCTTTTTAGTTGCCAGCCAGGAATCTAATTTCTCCTCGACAGTGTTCTTGTTACTGAAACGCGTTTAGCGTTCCATGTATTTTTCTTTGGGTTTTTTTCGGTACTTTCAAGCAGGAAAAAAACCAGAAACGAGCCCTTCAGATGCCACTGACCACTTTAGATGTGCCGCGTATGACTTCGCTATGCCACCTAAACCTCTTGCATCCCTAAGTTCCTTTCGCCCTCCAGCTGCCCAGGCTGGTGGGGACTCAGCACACCAAAGAGACAGGACTACTGCAAGCCAAAGATGTTTGTAACTTGCCATTTTTCTCCTCGCCACGGCTGGTGCGGGCGGTCGGGTGGCGATGGGGAAGCCTCACAAGCTCCAGTTGGGCCCCCTCTCCACCTGCGGCGGGCCGGTAGCCCGGGTGAGCCGATGCCGAGCCCCCCCATGCCCAGCAGCCCCCCCGGCACGGCCACGGCCGCTCCACCTGCGCCTTCTCCAGTGACCGGCCCCCCGCCGCGCCGGCAGGGACCCCCGCAGCAGAGCCCAGGGCGGCCGCGGCTCTTTAGAGACACTTGAGACTTTTTTTATGTACTACTTAATCGAAACCAAAGAAACGTTTTCTGCACCTACTTCTTCTGCAACAAACTGTTCCATTTAAAAATAAAATTAAAATAAAATTAAAAAAAAAATAAAGAAAAAAACCAAGGAAGCACGTCAGGAAGCAAACGAGTAACACACTGTGTTTTGACAGACATCTTGGACATTTTAGGAAGCAGATCTCAAAGAAAGGGTTGACAAGAACAAGAACAAAGCAAAGCCAGTACGATTGCTGCTTCGTTTGACAACTCAGTCATCTTAAAGTTGAAGATTGTCTTTAATTTGTGCCTATGCAGTTTTTTCAAAAGAACAAGGAACAGAGCAACCAAAACCTCAACAGCTACAATACCAAAGATGAGGATTCTCACTACTTTTGTTTCAGTTCATTGTCTCCTCTTGCACGACTGAATGCGTATAGCCCCACTGATCTGTGTACAGGTAACCACTTCTGTTTCTTCGAGCAACCAAAAGGGTGGGTTTATTTATGTTTTTCCTGCTTCTGCCTCACACGGGATCTCTCCGAGAGCTGCATGGACTCCAAGCGCAAGATGTTGGGATACTACACTGGTATGTCTCTTCTCTCCACAGCCACGTAGGAGGAACGTGTCCCTTGGCTATGACTTGTTTTGTCGGGTAGAATCAGTCTCCTGTATGTCTAGAGCTTTGAACACCCATCCTTCTGTACGTGAAATCGGTTGAGTTGAACCTACACCCTTCCTTCTCTTCCCCAGGGATAAAACTTGCAATATGTATGTACCCATTTGTGTCATTGTAAGTGCTGACCACCATCACCACCGCCTGGTTCACTGAGATCAGACCCCGACCTGAACCAAAACGGAGATTTCAGCAGTTCACGTGGCAGTTCAGCAATTCGTTTTGATGTATTACACACGTTATGTTGGTTGGTCGAAGTCATGATGACCCAAGTCACGACATGCAGACCTGGGGCCAATTTTCTCTTCCGAGCTGGAGCACCATGGTACCGTTGTGCTCCATCTCTGCATTTACATGAAGGCTTCTTTTTGAGTACTTTGCAAAACTGCTGCAGTCATCTTCCAATGTTTGCATTTAAAAAAAAAAAGAAAGAAAGAAAATCAAAAACCTTGTCTGCTCAGGACAGGAGAGGTTTCTGAGGAATAAATTCAGGATCCTCCCAGCAAGACTGACAGCACGTACCAGCTCTGGGAATTGAAACACAGATTTCCCAGAAAGATTGTGCATGATTCAAAAATGACCTAAAGAAGCCTGGTAATCAGACACGGACTAAAGCTGCCAAAAAGTGGTTCAGGTCTGGGCTGATGCGCTGTAGGGCAGCGCCCGGCTGAAGTGGTTTGGTCATGTTGAAGTTTCACCCTCGTTCCCATCCAAGAGGGTCCACTCAAAGCAGCCCCTCCCTGTGCATTTTGAAGGTGGCATTGCCCCCACGGGAGATGTCTCACTCTGAAAGTGTCCCTGCAGCGTTCATCCCAATAACACTAACGAAGTAAGTCTAGATCAATTACTGAATTATTAAAAAAAAAAATATCTTTGATGAAATCATTAATTCTGTCCAAAATTGTGGACTTTTTGTTATGCAATATTATGGCTGAAGTTTTTGCTTCGATGTTTCAGAGGCTGACCCTCAATCTCAGCCCGGGACAGTAGAATCCCACCACACAGCCTGAGGTCCACCTGGCTGCGTTTGCTGACCTGGCAGCATCTGCTGAGCAAAAAGGCATGGGCGCTGCAGGGACAGCCATGCCCACCTTTCCTCCACGGTTTTCTAAAGCCACTTTCACCTGAACGTCTGAAAACTCCGCTGCATTTTTTATCCCTGCATCTTCCATGTCCCTGTGTTGCGTCTTCCATGTCCCTGTCACCTCTTGTAGGCTTTTGTGTCACAGCTGTCCCAGCAGAGGAGTGTCGATGGCACACCCTGTGGGTAGATAGATTTGTATGTACAGGTATGAGCAGAACACGCCCTCTGTTCTGCCCGTGCTAAAAACAAACCTCAAATAGATACATTACGTTTATATACCATATATTTATGAATCTATAGAGCCGTGTAACGAAACTTCTTCCTTTTATTTATTCTGATACGAAAGACTGGTGTGTACAGATAGTATCCCAGCATCTTCTGCACCCTGTGCTTGGAGTTACTACCATGGGCACATCCGAGATGAATTCAACTTTCAAGAAACCTTGGATATTGCTTAATCATCCACCAAGGAACAAAGAATGTGCTTGATGACTTCGGTTGAATAGCTTTATTCTAGATCTCTCTTACCTAAAGCTGAATCCAAAGACCTGAGAAGGACTAAACCAGCAAACCCACGCTCTCACACCTGCGGGGGGGAACAGGGATCTCCTCTTCCAGAGCGAGACACGGTAACGACACGGGATCGCGAGGAGCGTGCGAGCTTCGGACACAAACCAATGCTTTTCTTGCTTGTCACCATACCTAAGTATTTTTGAGACATGGGGAAACTTTATACTCGGCCTCCTTTATATTTATTAAGGGGAATTTTTATTGTTTAAATTTTTTAAAAAGGTAAAGCTTAAAATGGTTTTATTTTTTTCCAGACGCTTGTGGGTTTTAACCCAATATATTATCTATCAATAATGTAATTTATTTAATTTAGTCTTAGAGCGGATCCCGAAATCTCTGTTCAGTCTAAATCCCATTAAGTTTCCTTTTAGCTTTAAATTTCAATGGGAGTTTTGCCTGAACACAGACTGCGGGATCAGGCTCCAGTGTGAGTTATTTGTAACTATTTAATTCAATCATTTATGAATTGATTTGGGATTAATTTTGTTTATTTATCCATTTCACTGTCGTAGCGCATCAGAGATGCAAAGCCTATGTTAGTAACTACACTTAAAGTTAGTATTGCTTCATAGAGCAGCCAGGTTCTGTTACAGACAGGAGAAAAATAACCACTTATGTAAAACAGGAGTCTAGTTTTAATTTCTTTTTTAATTAATTTTAATTGTTTAAATATCAAAGTTTAATTTATTTAAGTTAATCTCTTCCCATTTGCTTAGAAAGTGTGACATACCTTTATTATGGCACATAAAGCCTTCGTAATATAACTTATTTATTTAACTTATTCATAATCATCCGAAGATGCCCTTGTATAGTTTTTTGGTTTTTATTTAGAATGACCTTTAAAGCACTACAGCTGATTTGCTGTGAGAACAACAGAGTGAATTTTGAGGACAAGCAATGAATATTCAGCCTAAAACTGTGCATCAGAAACAATAGGGGAAAAAAAAAAAAACAAAGACACCGGGATACTTTGCCTGAACTTTGTGGCTTCTTAAAACTTAAGCTGGGGGAAAAAACAATACATGCCAAGCAAAAAGAGAGAAACCCTTAAACTAGCTGCTTCCAAGAATGAACTTCTGTGTGTGTAAAAAAAAAAAAAAAAAAAAAAAAAAAAAAGAAAAAAAAAAAAAAAAAAAAAAAAAAAAAAAAAAA